ACCTCTGAATACCTTTTGAGAACACTTTAACCTAATGATATGTTTAAAAAATACTATTACCTCTGAATACCTTTTGAGAACACTTTAACCTAATGATATGTTTAAAAAATACTATTACCTCTGAATACCTTTTGAGAACACTTTAACCTAATGATATGTTTAAAAAATACTATTACCTCTGAATACCTTTTGAGATCACTTGAACCTAATGATATGTTTAAAAAATATTATTACCTCTTAATACCTTTTGAGAACAATTTAATCTAATGGTATGTATAAGAAATAGAATAACCTCTTAATACCTTTTGATAACACTTTAACCTAACGGTATGTATAAGAAATAGAATAACCTCTTAATACCTTTTGAGAACACTTTAACCTAACGGTATGTATAAGAAATACTATTACCTCTTAATACCTTTTGAGAACACTTTAATCTAATGGTATGTATAAGAAATAGAATAACCTCTTAATACCTTTTGATAACACTTTAACCTAACGGTATGTATAAGAAATAGAATAACCTCTTAATACCGTTTGAGCTCACTTGTTTTATTTTGATCGGCGTATATCGTATTCAAGTGCTCTAATTCGTTTTCAAATTCAAATTAAACAACAAAAACTGAAAACCGAAGTTTCTAACATATAATTCCAGTTTCGTTTGATAACCTTCACCTAAAATAGTTTTTTTTTGTACGATACATTCAACTTTTGTAAATACAAAAGTTGGACTGCTTCAAAGTGTTTTACAAGGGAAAATATATACGAATGCGTAAGCGTTTACAAAAGCTAAGCATTTATCAACATGAGCGACGGCAGATAGACTCTATTAGATTGGATGATACAGAGTGTTTGCCTCTTCCAATATTTGATAGAATGCAGCTTTGAACTAACATGAATGACGCAGATTATTCAGTACTTAAATTACTTATAACCCGAATAAAGTTCTTGCTTGTGGATATTTCTTTATCCATTTTATATGAATCAGTTTCAGTTATGTTCATGCCGTAGAAAAAACAGGTTGTAATAAATTCTTGTATGAGGGGATACATCTTTTTCAAACGAGGGTAAAAATCTTTAACAATTTCTTTTTTTTTAACACTTACTTTTCCTTTTTAATACTAAAAGAACTATTTCTGTTTTTATGTCACTTTCAAGCACTTAATTGAACGAAGCTAATTCGTGAAACCAGAGCCACGTGGTAAACTACAAGTTAGAGTAAGTAAATATTATATTTACCTCACATTATAACGCTCCCACGGCTGAAAGGATGAGCATGTTCGATGATGGGATCGCCCTTGTGTGGCTTTATCCCAAAAAAAAAACAAGTTAATATCGAATACTAGTAAAACTAAAGTGATATACTTGTAAAGAACATTCTAGAAATCTTAATAAGATTTAGTTCTATAAACTTTTAATTTTATGTCTGAGAAAGAATAAATAATACACAGAAATGATGGCTTTCACTACATCTTATATTTAGAAGAGGATAAACGGAAATGA